TGTTTGTAACAGTAAGAGTTTTGATAGTGGGAAGGAATACTTTTATTACATTTTTTAGAAAAACTAGAACAAATAACAAGACGATATGGGATTGGTACAATGTTTGATATTCGCACCTATCCCATATAGGTATGTTTGCTGTTCGTTTAATGTGTTTTCCCGCTTCCCGTCCTTAAAAAAAAATAAAGAAAAAAATTCCTTTTTTTTCTATTTTTTTAACGCACCGAAAACACTGAATTTTCAATTTTCCCTAGTGTATAATTTACAGAAAGTTGAATCTATATATACCTAATATCAAAGCGTATTGGGGAGGCGTCTTAGTTACTAATTTTCCACACAGATTTTATGTAAGCTAATAATAACTAACAAGTCAAATTAAACGCTCTATCTGGGCACTTTATAATTTTACATGTCTTTAACTATTACATTATTGTGTTAGTCTTAATGAAATAGCACTTTATTATTATAACTATACAAATTGTGTTGATTATTTATTTTGTTTTAATCCACACAAATTTCAACATTGAACGCTTTTTTTTTTTATTGACAATGTTCACACGTTTATTTATTCTTTTGAGTTTTCTTTTATTCGCCTATAAACAAATAGTAGCGCCGATAGTAAAATTGATACGGTATTAAAGAAGTTACTATTGCTTTTTCAATACATTTAAATTTGTTGGGAAATTAACAAGAAGTAATAGTTATAGCAAAAAAATAAATAGAAAATATTAAAACGTTTTGCCAAACTGCATGATATTGTGTAAAACTAATAATAACAGAATTTCACGGCCCAACAGAAATTTCATAATATAATACAATCTTTAAAACACTATGTCCCGCGTTTTTATAAAATCACAGCGAATTTCTATGCCATGGTAATAATAGTGTTCTTTTAACTAATGTATGCAGCACGAGCTAAGGCTTTATTTGTTTAGTGTCATGTTTGAAGAGCTGTTGTTATTCGTGCGCGTTTGGCGAAAACAACACCGTATAGTTTTTTGACGGAAGAGACATATTATTATTTTTTATAATTTTATAAGTTTTAATGCGCCCAATTTTCATTTATTTTTCAAAAGTAAGTATATTAATTCCAGATACCCTTAACATTTTAAAAACTAGGAATACCGTTATAAAAATAATGATCTGGTCTACGATTGGCTGATCAAGAATTTGTTTTAATAAAAAACAGCTCGATTTATCCACTAGATAGTACTAGTAAGATGAAATATAACAAATTAAATAACTAATTAAGAAAAAAGATTATTTCAAATAAGCAACTTGGCGCATTGAAGAGTTAGAGATTATATTCAGTTTTGAATATTTTTGAAATTTAGTTTACCACTTTTAATACAGTATTATGCATGTTTCATCCTGAACATCCTACCTACTTTTAAATCATAAGCTACGAATATTATAATTTATAAATAATGAACTATTGTTTTTATTTCCAACGTATTAATTAGGTAAAAACTATTTATACATGCTAATAACAAAATATATCAGAACAAAAAACTCAATTTTTAATCTAAAGAATTGCAATTTTATACATAGCTTTTACATTGTTTAAACAAAGGTTTAAAGAATAATTTTCTTCTTCTTCTTCTTCTTCTTCTTGGGTTTTCCGGCCATCAAGACCATCCCATCACACATCAAATCCTCCAGCCTTCCCTTTCCACCGCTCTTGTTTTCCAATCTCGTCCTCCGTTTAGTGTTTCCACGTCTTTTCTTATCACATCTTCCCACCTCAATCGTGGTCTTCCCAGTGGTCTCCTGCCTACTGGGTTCTCGTCCACGATCATCCTTATGAGATGGTTCGAACTGTGAAAAACTAGAAAAACTAGAAAAACTAGAAAAACTAGAAAAACTAGAAAAACTAGAAAAACTAAAAAAAATTAAAAGTAGAAAAACTTTTTTTAGTTTTTCAATTTTTTCTAGTTTTTCAGGTTTTTCAAGTTTTTCAGGTTTTTCTAGTTTTTCAATTTTTCTAGTTTTTCAGGTTTTTCAAGTTTTTCAGGTTTTTCTAGATTTCTAATTTTTCTAGTTTTTCTAGTTTTTCTAGTTTTTCTATTTTTTAACAGTTTTTTAGTTTTTTAGTTTTTCTAGTTTTTATAGGTTTTATAGGAAAGATAGAAAAGATAGATAAAATAGAAAAAACTAGAAAAACTAAAAATGTTTTTTTGATTTTTCTAGTTTTTCTAGTGTTAATAGTTTTTATAGAAAAGAAAGAAAGAAACTAGAAAAACTAGAAATACTGGAAAAACTAGAAAAAATTGAAAAACTAAAAAAGCATTATAAGTTTTTATAGTTTCTCTAATTTACCAATCTTTTCTATCTTTTCTATAAAACCTATAAAATCTAGAAAAACTAAAAAACTATCTAGTTTTTCCAGTATTTCTAGTTTTTCTGTTTTTTTTGTTTTTCTACTTTTCTATCTTTTCTATAAAAACTATTAACACTAGAAAAACTAGAAAATCTAGAAAAACTAGAAAAACTAGAAACACTTGAAAAACTAAAAAAAATTAAAAGTAGAAAAACATTTCTAGTTTTTCTACTTTAAATTGTTTTTAGTTTTTCTAGTTTTTCTTTTTTTTCAATTATTTCTAAGCTTTCTAGAAAAGATAGAAAAACTAGAATAGTTTTTTAGTTTTTTAGAAAAACTAGAAATCCTGAAAAAATTGAAAATTTAGAAAAACTAGAAAAATTAGAAATTCTAAAAAACTAGAAATCCTAAAAAACTAGAAAAAATTAAAAGTAGAAAAACTAGAAAAATTTTTCTACTTTAAACTTTTTTAGTTTTTCAAGTGTCTGGTTTTTCTAGTTTTTCTAGTTTTTCTAGATTTTCTAGTTTTTCTAGTGTTAATAGTTTTTATAGAAAAGAAAGAAAGAAACTAGAAAAACTAGAAATACTTGAAAAACTAGAAAAAATTGAAAAACTAAAAAAGCATTATAAGTTTTTATAGTTTCTCTAATTTACCAATCTTTTCTATCTTTTCTATAAAACCTATAAAATCTAGAAAAACTGAAAAACTAGAATTCCTGAAAAAAAAGAAAAACTAGAAAAAATTAAAAAACTAGAAAAAATTGAAAAATTAAAAAAAATTGAAATTTAGAAAAACTAGAAATCCTGAAAAAATTGAAAAAATTGAAAATCTAGAAATCCTGAAAAAATTAAAAAACTAGAAAAATTGAAAAAATTAAAAAACTAGAAATCCTAAAAACTAGAAAACTAGAAAAACTAGAAAAAATTGAAAAACTAGAAAAACTAGAAATCCTGACAAAATTGAAAAACTAGAAAAACTAGAAAAAATAGAAATCTAGAAAAACTAGAATAGTTTTCTAGTTTTTAGAAAAACTAGAAATCCTGAAAAAATTGAAAAACTAGAAAAACTAGAAATCCTGAATAAATTGGAAAACTAGAAAAACTAGAAATCCTGAAAAAATTGAAAATTTAGAAAAACTAGAAAAAATTGAAATTAAGAAAAACTAGAAGAACTAGAAAAATTGAAAAACTAGAAATCCTGAAAAAATTAAAAAACTAGAAAAATAGAAAAATTGAAAAAATTGAAAAACTAGAAATCCTGAAAAAATTTAAAAAATTGAAAAAATTGAAAAACTAGAAATCCTGAAAAAATTGAAATACTAGAAAAACTAGAAATCCTGAAAAAATTGAAAATTTAAAAAAACTAGATTTTATTACAACTGAAAGTGATAAAATCACTTTTAAATAAACGCTTCGATGCGAATCTGTGGATAGTAGTTCAAACCAGTTATAGCGGCTTAGAAGATATCGTGGGACCAGCAATAATGCACTTAAAATTTAATATTTAGTCTTGTGCAGGGTGGATACGATAAGGGTTGATCGTCTGTCTATAAAAATGTACTGTCATATTTACCCATGTATCGTAATAAATATAATGAAAATATTTTCATTTTACAGATTTTTAAAGAAATTGTATATGTTGTAGTTCCATTGTAGATCTACCTTCGGCCTAATTTTCAGATCTAAATCTCTAAAACTTTGCTTGAAAAAGTGAAATAAAGAAAAAAATTCTATCCCTTATAAGGGAAAGGGCTTATGATTTTTTTTTTGGTTTGTTAATGTTTATCGATAGTACTATATTTGAGGAACAATTCATATAAATTTGGAACATTTTCGACTATTTTTAAAAAAGTTATAGAGCATCGTAATTTTAAGTTGAAAAATTTGTACATTTTTTTCTCAATTTTTATATAAGGAATAAAAATATCTAATAATAACACTGTCATTTTTGTAACGGCAATTAACGTTTGCCTGAGCTCTATATGTTTATTCTCCATTGACTGTTTGTTAATAACATAGACATTGCTTATCATTTTTACCAAAATTTAAGTACACAACTGTGTGTGTTATGTTACAGGTTTGGACGCCCAAGACAGTCCAGCATTAGTATATTTAGATGAATAAATCAATAACCAGATTACAGTAAGTACACCTAAATGCTACATAATATCTAAATGTTCTTCTGCTGACAGAAGGGATGCCAAATAATATCAAATTTCAACTATTCGAATAAATAAATTCAAAAAATCGCATTAAAAAAAAATATTTTATTATTTGAGTAAAACATTTTTTTGTACATTCTTTGCAAATTTGTTTTACTATCATTTGTAGTTGTAAAAAACTGACAATGAATTTAAAGCCAACGACACATGTAAGACATTGATAAATTATAATAATAACACACGTGCAAATTGAAAATATTAAAAACAAACAAAATCACTACTACAAATAAATCTTATTTAAACCATTATAAAAATAAACTTAAATTTAAAAAGTAATGACACACATGCAATTAATTTACTAAGACATTTTTAAAACGTTATTATAAAGAAATACAAAAATAAATAAATAGATAAAATAAAAAATACAGTGCATAAGTTAGACAAAAAAAAAATTTTCTTTAATGTCAATTTTCTTCGACAGTAAATGTAATAGAGAATATAAAAATATTTAAAATTTAGTGATTTTACGTTACGTGAACATACTCAAGTCTTATAAATTGAATGTCAGCCGAATAAAATGCATTGACTAGTATAGGATCAGTGGGGGTTTGTAACTTCCTATTCACTGAAACATGCAAATCAAAAATTATAGAAGTAATATACTATAAGGATAGTAATTATTGACACACACATAAGACGTCAAAATAGGAATGTTTGAGAACAATTGGAAATAATTGTTGTAACGCTTTACAGCAGTAAAGAAGTCTCGACTCTGGAATATAAGTCTTGACCGATGTGTCAGTGTTACTCGACGTTGTGATAGGTAGGAGTATGCTTTTGTATAGTATAATTATCCAAGCTATAAAATGAACTTACGCTAATTGTACACAATGATTTTTTTGAATCTACGCTCGACACAGTTGGTGAAGTATTCAAAGGTCTAGGCGCTACTGATGAAACGGAAACTATTTTAATGCAGCTATCATCTTCATCTTCATCTTCGCTGATAAGAGATGAGTATAGTGAAGTGTCCGGACAACTGATAATCTTTGCTTTTTTATTTTCATAATATTCATCAATGTCCTGATGGTCTTCCGTTTGTCGTCGTTTGATAGGTTCTTTTTCTTCGCTGTAATCTATGGAAAAAAAAAGATTAAAATAAAGAATGTTTGTCTATTATTTGGGTTAGGATTTAAAACGCCGAGTCAGAAAACATAATACGTTGTCGATGGGAATATAATAAGAACATTAGCTGTAAGCTAACATGTCAATAACTTTATCTTGGATAATAAATTAAATGGTGTCTTATGCAACAAATGTGCAAGTTGTTTAAATTCAAAGGAAAAAAAAGTAAGTCTGGTCACATCAGTTAATTCAGATAAATGTAATGCATTCGATAAAAAAAATCTTAAAAAGTACCTTCAAAAAGACATTTCTTTGGAATTTGCAAGATGCAACCAACTAATAACAAAAATTATTTTAAATGGTTTCATTATAAATAAAAAAAACCTTTCTTTAAAACATTTTAAATTTGACGCAAATACTTTTTTTTTTTTAGACCACTAAGAAAAATTAAAACCAAACCTACCTAATTTGGTGTTTTTGACTTTATGTTTATTCGCAGGATGTGTCAATTTCCAATCTCTGTACAGGTTTATCTTTGATTCGTTGTTGGTGCTTAGATAATTGTATTCGTGCTTTTCAACCCATCGGAGATATTCTTCGAGCGAAAGTATTAAGCTCTCAGGGTTTCCCTCGGCTACGGATTCCTCGATAAGCGTACGGACTCCTTGCACAGTGTTGGCTATCATTTTGAAATTATCTTCGTTAGGTTTGAACTGGGATCTCGATCGAAACGTTTTACATATGCCTAAACAAAGTAGGAAATTGTTTTAAAAAAAGAGAAACAACAAAAAATCAACGTTATCTCACCTTTGAGCCTAGGCAATTCGTCTTCCAGATCTCTGTTTTCAAATGGTTCTCCTTTAAGACCGCCATCGAACTAGGGTAAAGTTAAAAACAAATAATTAGCTTAAAAAAGATAAATCATTTACATTTTTTTACATAAGTTCTCCTGTAAAAACGCATAGTTACCTTCTTATCATTGGAAGTTTTATGATAGTACAGTCGCAGATCGGGCATTATACTGAAGTAAAAATACTCTTCGGTACCATCATTGCTTTTCCATACTGTACATTTCTCTTCTTTACATTTTACAACAATGTCCTTCATACTTTTATATTTAAACTAAAAAAAAAAAAAACAGTTTACGAATAATTACTTTTAAAAAAATTAGCTCTCAAAATATGTCGTAGCTTAAATTAAAAAGCCGTAACTCTATAAATACTTTGGTTTTAATCAAACTAAAAGATTCTAAAAAGCATAGAAGTTTCATGAAGATTTTTACTTTTTTTTTTTGGAAGCAATATCTAAAAAACAAGCTGCATCGCATCAAGCCATTCATCTAGCATTCGGTTTGGCCTGAACCGTCCAAAGCACGCAGGCGAGTCCAGTACTATCTTGTATTTAAAATACCTACGGTAAAATTAAATTAGAATGCAACAATTTTTGTCATATTCCAAATTTTGACTTGATAATGTTGAATTTTTTTTTTATCTACCACCATTGTTTTTTTTATTTTAACTTGACTTCAAATTGTGTAAAACTCGGTCCGCGATGGTCTTACAGTAAACACACCGATTTTTAAATAAAAATATTGATATGACATCCCCCATTAAATTATCATCTTCTATATAATTACATTATGCAGTGCATCGTGTACTAAGCGTTCTTGGTGAAAGCCAACTCCAATAAAAATATTGATTAAAACGTTAGTTATTTAGTTGGTTTGACTTATAATTTTGATAATATTTTCAAGTTGTACTAATCTAATTGTTTGTGTAAATTTGACTATGAATGTTGTAAATTAACACGTCCGAACTGTACCGTGAAATATTTTGTAGGTATTTTAAATTTTAAAATCTTTGTTTATTTTTATTTAATTGTGAAGTTGGATTTAAGATATTTTAGCGGTTCATACCGATGCGCACCGATAGGACACATTTAAGAAAACCGTTTGATTGTGTGGCCGTTCACTTCTGATAACGTTATTTTTATTTATCACAATTTCCTTTTTGTTATCAAAAAAAAAAAATACAAGCAATAAAAGCAGCGATATTTTCTACACTAAGCTACAAGCTTTTTTTAAAGATAGGTTAGGTTAAAAAAAAAAGAAATAGTAAATAAATTGAATTTAAATTTTTAAGTCGTCAACTAAGATGTATTGTTATGATTAATTAATAATCACAAAAGTCGTAAGAAAAAAACATAAGACGGCCAAATGCAAAATAAAAAAAAACATTATGCAAGCATGCAAACTTGTGTGACATTGGCTTTTTGGCCATAAAATAATATTAACAGCAATTATTATCCGTGAATTAGTTTCAATGAAGAATTGGTCGATATTTTGAAAAAATAAACATTTTTAATTCTTTCAACAAATACACTGTCAATATGATTATTATTATCTTATATTGATCGCATTATGTTTGCAGTTAATTTATTGTTCAGACTTTGAAATAAAAAAAAATTAAAAATAATCGCGTATGACTTGGCCGGCTATGCAAAAACTACTGGTAAATAAAATTTAAACAAGCTCCGAGATCTACTTAACTATGGTTTTTAATATTTTATGCAGGATTATTAAACTTACCAGTACATGATCGCACAGTCCTTTAAGTAACCAGACTTTAACCAAGTATGGCAATTCAAAATATTCTTTATCGATTAATGGGTTCTTGTCGCCCACGACAGTCCAAAAATCTCGATGGATGCCGAATTCTTTGAAAACCTAAATAAAAATCACAAGTAGTTTCAATTGTAAAAAAAAACAATCTCTTTTTGCCATTATAATATACGTATGGTGCCATCGTATTGATTTGTTACAAATTTAAACACTTACCTTAGCTTTGCCTTGGTCCTTTTCGTGGTAAACTTCAAACCAACTCGATATTTTTTTCGACAATTTCTCGGTCCAAACTTTGTATGACATTAAATTATTGATACATCTCTTACCGCTCATCGGCCCCAACAATAATGTCATTATTTTACTCATTAACGTCGACTCTTTAGGTATCAAAAACATCCCTTCGATTTCGCCTTGATATACATCTCCGATATGAAAAGTCCCAGCAAGAGCAGATACGAAGTTTCCGATTTCAGCCAACTGAAAAAAAATTATATTTATACAATTTTAGTATTAACGTATAATATAAATTTAAAATTGCATCGAAGCTAAAAGTATAAAATTAAATTTTTCATACAAACCTCCCACATTGAAGTTACATATTGACTGTGGCAATCAAAATCGATTTCATTTTTCCTTCTATTTAGTTCTTCTAATAACATAACACTTTTCTCAGTTAGGGCAATCTTATCCTCAATAGCGTTATGATATATCTTCAATCGTTCTGGACGACAATGAGCGACACTTTTTAATAACTTTGAATCATAATGGTCTGAAATGACAATTTAAATTTAAATAAATACCCATTATTAAATATATATATATATATGTTAACAATATTCGTTTAACAGTAATACAAAATTAACACAAGCAACTACGACATCACAAATTTTGTAATAAATATGAAAATACCTTTAGGGTATAAGTATTTATAGTCGTAAGTCTTCTCCGTTTTAAATATATCCAACGCCTGTTGAACATCTGTTGTACTCTTTAGACGTCTGTAACACAATCAAATAATAATATATAAATTAAATAGTTGTTTTCCTTAAGGTACAACTGTGTGATCGATCATAAGTGCGTAGGTTGATGAGATGAATTATTTAAATGAAACGTTCACTAAAATTAGCTGTTAACATAAATTGTTAAAGCCATTGGTTGTTGTACTAAATTTATTATGAGGAGGCACTTATGAACAATTATAATTTATTATTTGTAAAATATTATTACTCGTCCAGGCAAAAAATACATTCATCCAACAATTTTTCAACGTTCAAAGCAGCATAAGTAGTCTTATGTCTAGGGCCAAAATATTTGTAACAGTTCAACAAAAGACATCGTATTTCCGTAATCACATCGGCAAACGACTTGTATTCTCCGTCTTCCGCATTCATTTCGACTAAAATTATAGATTATATTTATTAGACTATTTTTTAAAATCCAACGAAAATATGACAGCGTTTACTATAAACGTTTTATTTTATACATACTCTCGTATAAGTCTCTGTTGTCTCTTTTATCAATGTATTCTAGGTAATCCAAATTATGAGCAATTACTTGAACACATTGTGGAGCTACTGTATAGAGTTGCCTTATTATTCTATAAATATTTGTATTATTATTATTACTGTTTCAAAATATTATTTGTAAATTTGAAAAATAAAATAATTTAATGCTTACAATATGGCTTGGTGTAGTTCTTGCTTTTTTTCATCCACAAAATTCGTTGACTCGTCCATGTTTACCTAAACATACAAAAATTGCGGTTTATAGATGTTATTGATTTTCAAACAAATATATATATTTATATACAGATAGATTTCCACAAATATTTAGTCAATAGAATCATGTTTTTTCCGTTGAATATTTAACACAATACTTTTAATCTCGTGTTTAATTAAATTACTATTTAATAACATATATTTTACTTATAGAAATACAGTTTTTACCTATGTTAGTGCCTGCACAACTTTAAATTGTGCTATCCTTAAGAGTTAAAATGCGATAGGTCACTACGAAACCATTCATCGCAACACAAGTAGTTTCAACGCAAATCAAATAAAACTAAACATTAGAATTTCAATAAACATATAGGTATATACCTATATTTTATTAACTAGTTTTCATAAAAAAAATAAACATTATTAATTATTTATCATATTATTATAATGTCTACTATTTTTTCATCAGTTAATAATGTAAACAATTCAATGATAACCACCACCTATATCATCCCTCTTATCACATTCGACTCTTAATCTAATTATTATTACCAAAAAAAAAAAAAAAAATGATTAGCAAATCCAAGTTTACCAATGATTCGATTATAATAATACAAATAAAAATCGATAAATGTATCGATTGTATAACCTACCTAAGAAATAAACGCACAATTATTTTTTTTAAATTAACGCTATGGCTTTTATTTTTAGTCATACTGTTATAATTTTAGAATTGCCCAAACAAAGGTAGAAAGCAAAATAGTTGACATAAAATACACTAAAAGCTATATAAATTAGCGTTTATGTATTATTTCACGGTATTCAAATAGTTTTAAATATGCCTAGTGACAATAGTAAAATTAAATGTTTTCTTTTAATTTTTAAATAAAAATATTTTTTTTTTAAAGATAATATTAAATTCAAATTAATTTCAATTTTTCTGTGTTCACTTGACTATAGAAACGACACTTATCGCATAAAATAGTTACTAAACGTAGCTTAAGTATTGTGACCACGTTTGTTAAAATCTAAATGAAAAATTGGACATAACATTATGCCAATATCTCATAAATAGTATATGGATTATAAAACCCAGAAAAAAAAATTTTTAACATAGTAGTTATTTAAGTCAATGGTGTAAACATTTAATTGTGAGCGCAAACACAGTTCCCATAAAGTAACCGCAAAATAAAAATATTGCTGAGTAATATAGGGACAAAATACTAATTCTTTGATTGAGTTTGAACTGTTCTAAGAACATCAGAGACGAGTGAAAGTGTTTAGTTCTTTTTAAACAGCCATAAGATATAAAGACACTACGCTGCTCTGATAAAACTGAATTAGCGTTGTGTATTCTAATAATTAATTTTTGAATAAGAGTAATAAAAATGTATAAACTTATTAATTAAATTGTATAAATATCAATAAAATAAATAGGGATAGCTACTGGTAAGAACTTGTACTGCATGTTAACATGATTTTGACGCCAGAGAGTTGTCATACGAAATGTTCAAAAAATGTTATGTTATTTTTTTAAAAATAATAGCCCAAACAAAAAAAAATCCTTCGGGTTATTTAATTTTGTACAAATCACTCTTCATACCACCTAGTTTCATTTCAATAATTGTTGCAAAAAAAATTCGGGATCATTGTGTTATAGTAAGATAAACAGATACATTTTTTAAATTTAGTTTAGAAATTGTGGTGAATTTTTTAAATGATTATTCTCTGGACTAATATTTTAACTTGAAATTTCTGTTTGTACAAACGTTCAAAAAAAAAAACAACGCTCAGAAGGACCGTCGACGAAATACACGTTGGTAATTTAAAGTGATTTAATACATTTTTAAATAAAATAAATAACAAATTTATCATTTATTTACCTGGAGGTCGGTGGTCATCATCGGATCTGCGTCAATGTCCATTAGACTTCTTTGGATATTGGAATATTCTTGAAATAAACACTGTTAGAAGAGACTCGTTACAACGTTGTGCTCGTCCGGAAACCGAATGTCGTTTGCCAAAAAACCAAAATATGATTCACCAGCTAATGTTTGGGACACGCCATTACAATAGATAAGGTCTACGGTCAAAATTTCAAATGCGCCATCTACCGCGACCAGCAGGTACCTACAACCTCTTTGAGCGTTTCCAAAGAGATTGTAAGCGACCCGTACCTGTTGTGGCGGGCTCGGGACAATTTCAAAACCGAATAATATTACCTATTATACTTCTCATCGTGTTTATGATTATAATGAAGAATGTATTTATTACCTTGGAAAAGGTTATTTTTCATATCGTTCAACTAATTAACACAACCCGCGTACATCAAGGTAAATAAAAACGGCTGTAATCGTATCTTTTGTGGGCTACAAGAGTCTTATTACTAATCGATTTTCAATGATCTCAGAGTGACCGATTTTTGTGGCTTCATCGTTTATTATTAGTTTACAATATTGTTGATTATCAATGTTTATATTTAAACATACGAAACAATAATCAGAAGCGGACACCCAAAACAATTTGGCAAAACAAAGTTTTAGGTTTTAAATTGTTTTTTTATTGGTTTTTAGGAGAGGGAAACAAGATAAATACTTCTCCTTCCCCTCTCCTCTTTCTCGTTAAAAGCGAACCGGTTATTGGCCGCTGGTACTAATATTAGTTAAAGTAATTGACATACGTTTATTTGTAATTAGTATAGTATGTTAGATAAAATAGGGTTAAATAATTGTATTATAATAACGTAATGATACAATTTTATTACTTTAACTAAAAATAACATTTTAGTGAGATCATTTTAGTTTTTTTAACTAAAAATAACATTATAATGAGATCTATACTCGATTTCGTTGATTTGTGTTTATATGTATCTATCTTTATTAAATATAATCAACAGTTTCGATAGGAACGAAATAAAAAAAGGCGAAAATTTAAGTTCAATTAAATTAATTTAAAAGTAAAAAAAAAAAAAATTGGGCTAGTTAAGAGGCAAAAAAATAGACATTATTTAACAAAAATTTATCTAGTAACAATTTTAAGTAAACCGACTAATTTTAATGAAAATAAATATTACGTTTATCTAGTTATAAAACTTTAAGTTATTTTTCTCCGAGTTATGGACCTAACCGAACGTTTTCCAGCGTTATCTATTGGGCGGATTTCAATTTTTATTTTCTTTGTGTGAAGTTTACTATTTTCTCTATGCGGGCCAAGAGGCCGATTTCTTATTTAGCCATTTGAAAATACCGTAAAAATATAAACGTGTAAACCAAAGCGTTCCGTTTTGAAATAGTGTATAGTTTTACACGCTGTTTGTTTAAAAAAAAAGTGTTGTATCACAGTGTACACTTTTTTCACACCGACCGTAGAGTAGGTGTAATACCTAATTTTCGGCGTTGGTCGTTATCATATTTCTTATCAACCAAATTGTATTATCAATAGAAAACAGTTATCAGTTGATTAATCCTACACCAAAAACACGTTTGTTTTGAAATACCACACCATTTACACTTGACGCTAATTGGTGTAATTTTTTGTCAAAACGAACAAAGCTATTATTGTACCAAAATTGAATTTTTCAATGTATTAAGTCGAAAACTTATATTTTCGACCTAAGTCGTTTGTACCAAGCATATCCAGTATATATATATATTTTATTGATATAATAATATATATTATATGCATTGATAACACACCTAAATCCCACCAGAATGGCGGACCGTCGGCTTCAATTCTTATCGCTAGTTAGCAATCTAGTTTATTATATATATCTGTGTATCAAAGTCTCTTGTACTCTCTCTTTCGTTTAACGTCTTGTACACGCTAAATAATAACAATAGTAATGTTATAATATTTGCGAACAATACAAAAATTGCAATCTTCGTACTACCGGGGGAGGGGTTGGGGGGTGTTTTAGCCGTCGCCATTCTGCGGTAGTCAATAATAGTAAACGGCCACCACTTGGGTGGTGCAAAACAGCTCGGCGTTGCGGTAATTCTCGTGGACCAGCCGATCGGTTTTCTCGTCCCACAGGCACCGCATGCCGATGGTGACCGACTGCCAACGATGCGCCCCGATGAACGTGTGTGCAATTATCTTGTACCGGGACCCCGCCGGGCGTGTGTCGTCGCATATCTCCTTGACGCGGCGCTCCACGTCCCGGACAACGGCCCGGCAAGTGACCTTGTGGTCCAGGTCTTCCCACGTCTTCCCGGCCAGGTAATCCGAGTGGACGGTTTGCACGGCGGTCCTGACCAGCCGCTCGTTGAACGCGTCCCTCAGCCGGGGCCTGACCCTGAACCCGCCGAGCGATTGTAACGATTCGTCCGCTCGCTTGTGGTCGTACTCCCAGTTCGGTTTGCCCGCAAAGATTTTCTCTGTCTCCGCCGTCGTCATGTCTTCGTAACCTCGGCCCTCTTACACCCACACACAATGTATACTAACATACATAAAATATAGATAACAGGCAACACTTGGTTTTTAATCCAAAACAAACGCATCCCAAAAAAAAAAAAAAAAAGCCCCGTGACACGGTATAAACACAGCATGCGTTGCCCGGCTAACGGTCGCCTATGGCACGGGGGAAGCGTGTTATTACCCGGGTTGGCGTTGAGAATTTAAATTTAACAATAATATCAATTAAATACATAGGTAAAACTCAAACCTCGGCAAAGTATATTATATTTTTTACTGTGACTCGACCATGTCGTATCAATTGTATGTTAGGTATAATATAGTATACATAATAATATACATTATAATGTATATACTATATATACATTATTAAAACTTATAAAAACACATTGCCCCTTTTCCGCAGTCGGGTATTGACATATTATATAAATAATCAAAAAATATAAAAATCCAAATAATAAATAATATGGTTTGTCCGACGAACATAGATCCTTTTTTTTTTTTTGTACCGGTCTTCGAATTTCGAATCCGACCTTTACAAGTATAATATAGTTATCTAAAGAACGACAATAGTAATGAAGGGTGTTTTTAAAAATACTATATAAGACCGCAGCGTAGGTATATGCCTATTGTTATCAAATGTGTATAAATTCCGATTGTTTGGTAAATATCTATGGCATTGTTGAATAGGTAAAAAAATAACCAGGCCAAATGCTGATGAAAAAAGGTTCCCAATGCTATAAAGGCTAAAATTTTTCATCTACCTAAAATAAATCGAAATGATTTTATCAAACGACTAAGTGTGACAAAAAAAAAATCAATCATTTTAGAGATAAAAAAATGATTTGGGCTATAAAATAGGTTTTTAATCCAAAACAAACGCTTCCCAAAAAAAAAAAAAAAAAGCCCCGTGACACGGTATAAACACAGCATGCGTTGCCCGGCTAACGGTAGCCTATGGCACGGGGGAAGCGTGTTATTACCCGGGTTGGCGTTGAGAATTTAAATTTAACAATAATATCAATTAAATACATAGGTAAAACTCAAACCTCGGTAATACTTTATTACATAAAAATTAACATATTGTTGAAAACGGGTGTTGATTAAACGAGTGAAATCCGCATCGAAATCGGCTTGGCTCTAAACATGTCCGTGATTAATGCACTTGATAATAGGTTTACTTTTATGGACGACAATGCGTTTACCGGAAAATATGTTATGCTTTTAAGACATCCTTAAAATTGTATAAATAATATATAAAGCGCATACCGCTAGAATATATAATACACAAATCCGTTTTTTCAAGAAATAGCCAAATATAATTTTTTTAACTTCATCGTTTAAATGCTGGATCAATTTTTTTTTGGTTAATTTAGTTTTGTAATATGATAGTACCTATTATAAAATGTTTAATGCTATTAACGAAATTTAATTTTTAGCGGTTACCTTTTTCTGCCGGTATTCAAACAAAAGTACATTTTATGTATGATTACTTAGGACTAGGTGAGTTGACAACCAATGAAATAAAATTTTTGTGTTTTCGAACAAGGAAAATAATAATAAAATTTGGTTGTTTTATTTATTTATAGTAATATACGCCAAACGGCTTTTTATAAATTAGAAAATTATATATATATATATAACTTTCTAATTTATAAAAAGTCGTTTGACGTAAATTACTCTAAATAAATAAAATAAATAAATAAAACAACCAAATTTTATTATTATTTTCCTATATATATATATGTAGTGATATTAAAAATACACAAATCAACCAAAAGAAAACGAAACAAAGCAAAACAAAACAACAAAAAATATACATGTTAAGAAGGTTGATTGATTTTTTTTTGTCACACTTAGTCGTTTGATAAAATCATTTTCGATTTATTTTAGGTAGATGAAAAATTTTAGCCTTTATAGCATTGGGAACCTTTTTTCATCAGCATTTGGCCTGGTTATTTTTTTACCTATTCAACAATGCCATAGATATTTACCAAACAATCGGAATTTATACACATTTGATAACAATAGGCATATACCTACGCTGCGGTCTTATATAGTATTTTTAAAAACACCCTTCATTACTATTGTCGTTCTTTAGATAACTATATTATACTTGTAAAGGTCGGATTCGAAATTCGAAGACCGGTACAAAAAAAAAAAAAGGATCTATGTTCGTCGGACAAACCATATTATTTATTATTTGGATTTTTATATTTTTTGATTATTTATATAATATGTCAATACCCGACTGCGGAAAAGGGGCAATGTGTTTTTATAAGTTTTAATAATGTATATATAGTATATACATTATAATGTATATTATTATGTATACTATATTATACCTAACATACAATTGATACGACATGGTCGAGTCACAGTAAAAAATATAATATACTTTGCCGAGGTTTGAGTTTTACCTATGTATTTAATTGATATTATTGTTAAATTTAAATTCTCAACGCCAACCCGGGTAATAACACGCTTCCCCCGTGCCATAGGCGACCGTTAGCCGGGCAACGCATGCTGTGTTTATACCGTGTCACGGGGCTTTTTTTTTTTTTTTTTGGGATGCGTTTGTTTTGGATTAAAAACCAAGTGTTGCCTGTTATCTATATTTTATGTATGTTAGTATACATTGTGTGTGGGTGTAAGAGGGCCGAGGTTACGAAGACATGACGACGGCGGAGACAGAGAAAATCTTTGCGGGCAAACCGAACTGGGAGTACGACCACAAGCGAGCGGACGAATCGTTACAATCGCTCGGCGGGTTCAGGGTCAGGCCCCGGCTGAGGGACGCGTTCAACGAGCGGCTGGTCAGGACCGCCGTGCAAACCGTCCACTCGGATTACCTGGCCGGGAAGACGTGGGAAGACCTGGACCACAAGGTCACTTGCCGGGCCGTTGTCCGGGACGTGGAGCGCCGCGTCAAGGAGATATGCGACGACACACGCCCGGCGGGGTCCCGGTACAAGATAATTGCACACACGTTCATCGGGGCGCATCGTTGGCAGTCGGTCACCATCGGCATGCGGTGCCTGTGGGACGAGAAAACCGATCGGCTGGTCCACGAGAATTACCGCAACGCCGAGCTGTTTTGCACCACCCAAGTGGTGGCCGTTTACTATTATTGACTACCGCAGAATGGCGACGGCTAAAACACCCCCCAACCCCTCCCCCGGTAGTACGAAGATTGCAATTTTTGTATTGTTCGCAAATATTATAACATTACTATTGTTATTATTTAGCGTGTACAAGACGTTAAACGAAAGAGAGAGTACAAGAGACTTTGATACACAGATATATATAATAAACTAGATTGCTAACTAGCGATAAGAATTGAAGCCGACGGTCCGCCATTCTGGTGGGATTTAGGTGTGTTATCAATGCATATAATATATATTATTATATCAATAAAATATATATATATACTGGATATGCTTGGTACAAACGACTTAGGTCGAAAATATAAGTTTTCGACTTAATACATTGAAAAATTCAATTTTGGTACAATAATAGCTTTGTTCGTTTTGACAAAAAATTACACCAATTAGCGTCAAGTGTAAATGGTGTGGTATTTCAAAACAAACGTGTTTTTGGTGTAGGATTAATCAACTGATAACTGTTTTCTATTGATAATACAATTTGGTTGATAAGAAATATGATAACGACCAACGCCGAAAATTAGGTATTACACCTACTCTACGGTCGGTGTGAAAAAAGTGTACACTGTGATACAACACTTTTTTTTTAAACAAACAGCGTGTAAAACTATACACTATTTCAAAACGGAACGCTTTGGTTTACACGTTTATATTTTTACGGTATTTTCAAATGGCTAAATAAGAAATCGGCCTCTTGGCCCGCATAGAGAAAATAGTAAACTTCACACAAAGAAAATAAAAATTGAAATCCGCCCAATAGATAACGCTGGAAAACGTTCGGTTAGGTCCATAACTCGGAGAAAAATAACTTAAAGTTTTATAACTAGATAAACGTAATATTTATTTTCATTAAAATTAGTCGGTTTACTTAAAATTGTTACTAGATAAATTTTTGTTAAATAATGTCTATTTTTTTGCCTCTTAACTAGCCCAATTTTTTTTTTTTTTACTTTTAAATTAATTTAATTGAACTTAAATTTTCGCCTTTTTTTATTTCGTTCCTATCGAAACTGTTGATTATATTTAATAAAGATAGATACATATAAACACAAATCAACGAAATCGAGTATAGATCTCATTATAATGTTATTTTTAGTTAAAAAAACTAAAATGATCTCACTAAAATGTTATTTTTAGTTAAAGTAATAAAATTGTATCATTACGTTATTATAATACAATTATTTAACCCTATTTTATCTAACATACTATACTAATTACAAATAAACGTATGTCAATTACTTTAACTAATATTAGTACCAGCGGCCAATAACCGGTTCGCTTTTAACGAGAAAGAGGAGAGGGGAAGGAGAAGTATTTATCTTGTTTCCCTCTCCTAAAAACCAATAAAAAAACAATTTAAAACCTAAAACTTTGTTTTGCCAAATTGTTTTGGGTGTCCGCTTCTGATTATTGTTTCGTATGTTTAAATATAAACATTGATAATCAACAATATTGTAAACTAATAATAAACGATGAAGCCACAAAAATCGGTCACTCTGAGATCATTGAAAATCGATTAGTAATAAGACTCTTGTAGCCCACAAAAGATACGATTACAGCCGTTTTTATTTACCTTGATGTACGCGGGTTGTGTTAATTAGTTGAACGATATGAAAAATAACCTTTTCCAAGGTAATAAATACATTCTTCATTATAATCATAAACACGATGAGAAGTATAATAGGTAATATTATTCGGTTTTGAAATTGTCCCGAGCCCGCCACAACAGGTACGGGTCGCTTACAATCTCTTTGGAAACGCCCAAAGAGGTTGTAGGTACCTGCTGGTCGCGGTAGATGGCGCATTTGAAATTTTGACCGTACACCTTATCTATTGTAATGGCGTGTCCCAAACATTAGCTGGTGAATCATATTTTGGTTTTTTGGCAAACGACATTCGGTTTCCGGACGAGCACAACGTTGTAACGAGTCTCTTCTAACAGTGTTTATTTCAAGAATATTCCAATATCCAAAGAAGTCTAATGGACATTGACGCAGATCCGATGATGACCACCGACCTCCAGGTAAATAAATGATAAATTTGTTATTTATTTTATTTAAAAATGTATTAAATCACTTTAAATTACCAACGTGTATTTCGTCGACGGTCTTTCTGAGCGTTGTTTTTTTTTTGAACGTTTGTACAAACAGAAATTTCAAGTTAAAATATTAGTCCAGAGAATAATCATTTAAAAAATTCACCACAATTTCTAAACTAAATTTAAAATTTTATCAGTTTATCTTACCATAACACAATGATCCCGAATTTTTTTTGCAATAATTATTGAAATGAAACTAGGTGGTATGAAGAGTGATTTGTACAAAATTAAATAACCCGAAGGATTTTTTTTTGTTTGAGCTATTATTTTTAAAAAAATAACATAACATTTTTTGAACATTTCGTATGACAACTCTCTGACGTCAAAATCATGTTAACATGCAGTACAAGTTCTTACCAGTAGCTATCCCTATTTATTTTCTTGATATTTATACAATTTAATTAATAAGTTTATACATTTTTATTACTCTTATTCAAAAATTAATTATTAGAATACACAACGCTAATTCAGTTTTATCAGAGCAGCGTAGTGTCTTTATATCTTATGGCTGTTTAAAAAGAACTAAACACTTTCACTCGTCTCTGATGTTCTTAGAACAGTTCAAACTCAATCAAAGAATTAGTATTTTGTCCCTATATTACTCAGCAATATTTTTATTTTGCGGTTACTTTATGGGAACTGTGTTTGCGCTCACAATTAAATGTTTACACCATTGACTTAAATAACTACTATGTTAAAAATTTTTTTTTCTGGGTTTTATAATCCATATACTATTTATGAGATATTGGCATAATGTTATGTCCAATTTTTCATTTAGATTTTAACAAACTTGGTCACAATACTTAAGCTACGTTTAGTAACTATTTTATGCGATAAGTGTCGTTTCTATAGTCAAGTGAACACAGAAAAATTGAAATTAATTTGAATTTAATATTATCTTTAAAAAAAAATATTTTTATTTAAAAACTAAAAGAAAACATTTAATTTTACTATTGTCACTAGGCATATTTAAAACTATTTGAATACCGTGAAATAATACATAAACGCTAATTTATATAGCTTTTAGTGTATTTTATGTCAACTATTTTGCTTTCTACCTTTGTTTGGGCAATTCTAAAATTATAACAGTATGACTAAAAATAAAAGCCATAGCGTTAATTTAAAAAAAACAATTGTGCGTTTATTTCTTAGGTAGGTTATACAATCGATACATTTATCGATTTTTATTTGTATTATTATAATCGAATCATTGGTAAACTTGGATTTGCTAATCATTTTTTTTTTTTTTTTGGTAATAATAATTAGATTAAGAGTCGAATGTGATAAGAGGGATGATATAGGTGGTGGTTATCATTGAATTGTTTACATTATTAACTGATGAAAAAATAGTAGACATTATAATAATATGAAAAATAATTAATAATGTTTATTTTTTTTATGAAAACTAGTTAATAAAATATAGGTATATACCTATATGTTTATTGAAATTCTAATGTTTAGTTTTATTTGATTTGCGTTGAAACTACTTGTGTTGCGATGAATGGTTTCGTAGTGACCTATCGCATTTTAACTCTTAAGGATAGCACAATTTAAAGTTGTGCAGGCACTAACATAGGTAAAAACTGTATTTCTATAAGTAAAATATATGTTATTAAATAGTAATTTAATTAAACACGAGATTAAAAGTATTGTGTTAAATATTCAACGGAAAAAACATGATTCTATTGACTAAATATTTGTGGAAATCTATCTGTATATAAATATATATATTTGTTTGAAAATCAATAACATCTATAAACCGCAATTTTTGTATGTTTAGGTAAACATGGACGAGTCAACGAATTTTGTGGATGAAAAAAAGCAAGAACTACACCAAGCCATATTGTAAGCATTAAATTATTTTATTTTTCAAATTTACAAATAATATTTTGAAACAGTAATAATAATAATACAAATATTTATAGAATAATAAGGCAACTCTATACAGTAGCTCCACAATGTGTTCAAGTAATTGCTCATAATTTGGATTACCTAGAATACATTGATAAAAGAGACAACAGAGACTTATACGAGAGTATGTATAAAATAAAACGTTTATAGTAAACGCTGTCATATTTTCGTTGGATTTTAAAAAATAGTCTAATAAATATAATCTATAATTTTAGTCGAAATGAATGCGGAAGACGGAGAATACAAGTCGTTTGCCGATGTGATTACGGAAATACGATGTCTTTTGTTGAACTGTTACAAATATTTTGGCCCTAGACATAAGACTACTTATGCTGCTTTGAACGTTGAAAAATTGTTGGATGAATGTATTTTTTGCCTGGACGAGTAATAATATTTTACAAATAATAAATTATAATTGTTCATAAGTGCCTCCTCATAATAAATTTAGTACAACAACTAATGGCTTTAACAATTTATGTTAACAGCTAATTTTAGTGAACGTTTCATTTAAATAATTCATCTCATCAACCTACGCACTTATGATCGATCACACAGTTGTACCTTAAGGAAAACAACTATTTAATTTATATATTATTATTTGATTGTATTACAGACGTCTAAAGAGTACAACAGATGTTCAACAGGCGTTGGATATATTTAAAACGGAGAAGACTTACGACTATAAATACTTATACCCTAAAGGTATTTTCATATTTATTACAAAATTTGTGATGTCGTAGTTGCTTGTGTTAATTTTGTATTACTGTTAAACGAATATTGTTAACATATATATATATTTTTTTAATAATGGGTATTTATTTAAATTTAAATTGTCATTTCAGACCATTATGATTCAAAGTTATTAAAAAGTGTCGCTCATTGTCGTCCAGAACGATTGAAGATATATCATAACGCTATTGAGGATAAGATTGCCCTAACTGAGAAAAGTGTTATGTTATTAGAAGAACTAAATAGAAGGAAAAATGAAATCGATTTTGAATGCCACAGTCAATATGTAACTTCAATGTGGGAGGTTTGTATGAAAAATTTAATTTTATACTTTTAGCTTCGATGCAATTTTAAATTTATATTATACGTTAATACTAAAATTGTATAAATATAATTTTTTTTCAGTTGGCTGAAATCGGAAACTTCGTATCTGCTCTTGCTGGGACTTTTCATATCGGAGATGTATATCAAGGCGAAATCGAAGGGATGTTTTTGATACCTAAAGAGTCGACGTTAATGAGTAAAATAATGACATTATTGTTGGGGCCGATGAGCGGTAAGAGATGTATCAATAATTTAATGTCATACAAAGTTTGGACCGAGAAATTGTCGAAAAAAATATCGAGTTGGTTTGAAGTTTACCACGAAAAGGACCAAGGCAAAGCTAAGGTAAGTGTTTAAATTTGTAACAAATCAATACGATGGCACCATACGTATATTATAATGGCAAAAAGAGATTGTTTTTTTTTACAATTGAAACTACTTGTGATTTTTATTTAGGTTTTCAAAGAATTCGGCATCCATCGAGATTTTTGGACTGTCGTGGGCGACAAGAACCCATTAATCGATAAAGAATATTTTGAATTGCCATACTTGGTTAAAGTCTGGTTACTTAAAGGACTGTGCGATCATGTACTGGTAAGTTTAATAATCCTGCATAAAATATTAAAAACCATAGTTAAGTAGATCTCGGAGCTTGTTTAAATTTTATTTAACAGTAGTTTTTGCATAGCCGGCCAAGTCATACGCGATTATTTTTAATTTTTTTTTATTTCAAAGTCTGAACAATAAATTAACTGCAAACATAATGCGATCAATATAAGATAATAATAATCATATTGACAGTGTATTTGTTGAAAGAATTAAAGATGTTTATTTTTTCAAAATATCGACCAATTCTTCATTGAAACTAATTCACGGATAATAATTGCTGTTAATATTATTTTATGGCCAAAAAGCCAATGTCACACAAGTTTGCATGCTTGCATAATGTTTTTTTTTATTTTGCATTTGGCCGTCTTATGTTTTTTTCTTACGACTTTTGTGATTATTAATTAATCATAACAATACATCTTAGTTGACGACTTAAAAATTTAAATTCAATTTATTTACTATTTCTTTTTTTTTTAACCTAACCTATCTTTAAAAAAAGCTTGTAGCTTAGTGTAGAAAATATCGCTGCTTTTATTGCTTGTATTTTTTTTTTTGATAACAAAAAAGAAAATTGTGATAAATAAAAATAACGTTATCAGAAGTGAACGGCCACACAATCAAACGGTTTTCTTAAATGTGTCCTATCGGTGCGCATCGGTATGAACCGCTAAAATATCTTAAATCCAACTTCACAATTAAATAAAAATAAACAAAGATTTTAAAATTTAAAATACCTACAAAATATTTCACGGTACAGTTCGGACGTGTTAATTTACAACATTCATAGTCAAATTTACACAAACAATTAGATTAGTACAACTTGAAAATATTATCAAAATTATAAGTCAAACCAACTAAATAACTAACGTTTTAATCAATATTTTTATTGGAGTTGGCTTTCACCAAGAACGCTTAGTACACGATGCACTGCATAATGTAATTATATAGAAGATGATAATTTAATGGGGGATGTCATATCAATATTTTTATTTAAAAATCGGTGTGTTTACTGTAAGACCATCGCGGACCGAGTTTTACACAATTTGAAGTCAAGTTAAAATAAAAAAACAATGGTGGTAGATAAAAAAAAAATTCAACATTATCAAGTCAAAATTTGGAATATCACAAAAATTGTTGCATTTTAATTTAATTTTACCGTAGGTATTTTAAATACAAGATAGTACTGGACTCGCCTGCGTGCTTTGGACGGTTCAGGCCAAACCGAATGCTAGATGAATGGCTTGATGCGATGCAGCTTGTTTTTTTAGATATTGCTTCCAAAAAAAAAAGTAAAAATCTTCATGAAACTTCTATGCTTTTTAGAATCTTTTAGTTTGATTAAAACCAAAGTATTTATAGAGTTACGGCTTTTTAATTTAAGCTACGACATATTTTGAGAGCTAATTTTTTTAAAAGTAATTATTCGTAAACTGTTTTTTTTTTTTTTAGTTTAAATATAAAAGTATGAAGGACATTGTTGTAAAATGTAAAGAAGAGAAATGTACAGTATGGAAAAGCAATGATGGTACCGAAGAGTATTTTTACTTCAGTATAATGCCCGATCTGCGACTGTACTATCATAAAACTTCCAATGATAAGAAGGTAACTATGCGTTTTTACAGGAGAACTTATGTAAAAAAATGTAAATGATTTATCTTTTTTAAGCTAATTATTTGTTTTTAACTTTACCCTAGTTCGATGGCGGTCTTAAAGGAGAACCATTTGAAAACAGAGATCTGGAAGACGAATTGCCTAGGCTCAAAGGTGAGATAACGTTGATTTTTTGTTGTTTCTCTTTTTTTAAAACAATTTCCTACTTTGTTTAGGCATATGTAAAACGTTTCGATCGAGATCCCAGTTCAAACCTAACGAAGATAATTTCAAAATGATAGCCAACACTGTGCAAGGAGTCCGTACGCTTATCGAGGAATCCGTAGCCGAGGGAAACCCTGAGAGCTTAATACTTTCGCTCGAAGAATATCTCCGATGGGTTGAAAAGCACGAATACAATTATCTAAGCACCAACAACGAATCAAAGATAAACCTGTACAGAGATTGGAAATTGACACATCCTGCGAATAAACATAAAGTCAAAAAAACCAAATTAGGTAGGTTTGGTTTTAATTTTTCTTAGTGGTCTAAAAAAAAAAAAAAGTATTTGCGTCAAATTTAAAATGTTTTAAAGAAAGGTTTTTTTTATTTATAATGAAACCATTTAAAATAATTTTTGTTATTAGTTGGTTGCATCTTGCAAATTCCAAAGAAATGTCTTTTTGAAGGTACTTTTTAAGATTTTTTTTATCGAATGCATTACATTTATCTGAATTAACTGATGTGACCAGACTTACTTTTTTTTCCTTTGAATTTAAACAACTTGCACATTTGTTGCATAAGACACCATTTAATTTATTATCCAAGATAAAGTTATTGACATGTTAGCTTACAGCTAATGTTCTTATTATATTCCCATCGACAACGTATTATGTTTTCTGACTCGGCGTTTTAAATCCTAACCCAAATAATAGACAAACATTCTTTATTTTAATCTTTTTTTTTCCATAGATTACAGCGAAGAAAAAGAACCTATCAAACGACGACAAACGGAAGACCATCAGGACATTGATGAATATTATGAAAATAAAAAAGCAAAGATTATCAGTTGTCCGGACACTTCACTATACTCATCTCTTATCAGCGAAGATGAAGATGAAGATGATAGCTGCATTAAAATAGTTTCCGTTTCATCAGTAGCGCCTAGACCTTTGAATACTTCACCAACTGTGTCGAGCGTAGATTCAAAAAACTCATTGTGTACAATTAGCGTAAGTTCATTTTATAGCTTGGATAATTATACTATACAAAAGCATACTCCTACCTATCACAACGTCGAGTAACACTGACACATCGGTCAAGACTTATATTCCAGAGTCGAGACTTCTTTACTGCTGTAAAGCGTTACAACAATTATTTCCAATTGTTCTCAAACATTCCTATTTTGACGTCTTATGTGTGTGTCAATAATTACTATCCTTATAGTATATTACTTCTATAATTTTTGATTTGCATGTTTCAGTGAATAGGAAGTTACAAACCCCCACTGATCCTATACTAGTCAATGCATTTTATTCGGCTGAAATTCAATTCATAAGACTTGAGTATGTTCACGTAACGTAAAATCACTAAATTTTAAATATTTTTATATTCTCTATTACATTTACTGTCGAAGAAAATTGACATTAAAGAAAATTTTTTTTTGTCTAACTTATGCACTGTATTTTTTATTTTATCTATTTATTTATTTTTGTATTTCTTTATAATAACGTTTTAAAAATGTCTTAGTAAATTAATTGCATGTGTGTCATTACTTTTTAAATTTAAGTTTATTTTTATAATGGTTTAAATAAGATTTATTTGTAGTAGTGATTTTGTTTGTTTTTAATATTTTCAATTTGCACGTGTGTTATTTTTATAATTTATCAATGTCTTACATGTGTCGTTGGCTTTAAATTCATTGTCAGTTTTTTACAACTACAAATGATAGTAAAACAAATTTGCAAAGAATGTACAAAAAAATGTTTTACTCAAATAATAAAATATTTTTTTTTAATGCAATTTTTTGAATTTATTTATTCGAATAGTTGAAATTTGATATTATTTGGCATCCCTTCTGTCAGCAGAAGAACATTTAGATATTATGTAGCATTTAGGTGTACTTACTGTAATCTGGTTATTGATTTATTCATCTAAATATACTAATGCTGGACTGTCTTGGGCGTCCAAACCTGTAACATAACACACACAGTTGTGTACTTAAATTTTGGTAAAAATGATAAGCAATGTCTATGTTATTAACAAACAGTCAATGGAGAATAAACATATAGAGCTCAGGCAAACGTTAATTGCCGTTACAAAAATGACAGTGTTATTATTAGATATTTTTATTCCTTATATAAAAATTGAGAAAAAAATGTACAAATTTTTCAATTTAAAATTACGATGCTCTATAACTTTTTTAAAAATAGTCGAAAATGTTCCAAATTTATATGAATTGTTCCTCAAATATAGTACTATCGATAAACATTAACAAACCAAAAAAAAAATGATAAACCCTTTCCCTTATAAGGGATAGAATTTTTTTCTTTATTTCACTTTTTCAAGCAAATTTTAGAGATTTAGATCTGAAAATTAGGCCGAAGATAGATCTACAATGGAACTACAACATATACAATTTCTTTAAAAATATGTAAAATGAAAATATTTTCATTATATTTTTAATTACGATACATGGGTAACTATGACAGTACATTTTTATAGACAGACGATCAACCCTTATCGTATCCACCCTGCACAAGACTAAATATTAAATTTTAAGTGCATTATTGCTGGTCCCACGATATCTTCTAAGCCGCTATAACTGGTTTGAACTAACTATCCACAGATTCGCATCGAAGCGTTTATTTAAAAGTGATTTTATCACTTTCAGTTGTAATAAAATCTAGTTTTTTTAAATTTTCAATTTTTTCAGGATTTCTAGTTTTTCTAGTATTTCAATTTTTTCAGGATATCTAGTTTTTCAATTTTTTCAATTTTATCAGGATTTCTAGTTTTTCTAGTTTTTTAATTTTTTCAGGATTTCTAGTTTTTCAATTTTTTTCATTTTTTCTAGTTTTTCTAGTTTTTTAATTAAATCAGGATTTCTAGTTTTTCTAAATTTTCAATTTTTTCAGGATTTCTAGTTTTTCTAGTTTTTCAATTTTTTCAGGATTTCTAGAATTTCTAAAAAACTAGAAAACTATTCTAGTTTTTCTAGTTTTTCAATTTTGTCAGGATTTCTAGTTTTTTAGTTTTTCAATTTTTTCTAGTTTTTCTAGTTTTTTAGGATTTCTAGTTTTTCTAGTTTTTCTAAATTTTCAATTTTTTCAGGATTTCTAGTTTTGCTAAGAAACTAAAAAACTATTCTAGTTTTTCTAGTTTTTAAATTTTTCTATTTTTTCAATTTTTTCAATTTTTTCAATTTTTTCTTTTTTTCTAGTTTTTCAATTTTTTCAGGATTTCTAGTTTATCTAAAAAACTAAAAAACTATTCTAGTTTTTCTAGTTTTTCAATTTTTTCTGGTTTTTCTAGTTTTTCAATTTTGTCAGGATTTCTAGTTCTTCTAGTTTTTCAATTATTTCTAGTTTTTCTAGTTTTTCTAGTTTTTCTATCTTTTCTAAAAACACTAGAAAAAATTGAAAAACCTGAAAAAAATTGAAAAACTAGAAAAACTAAAAAAACTTTTTTAGTTTTTCTAGTTTTCAATTTTTTCTAGTTTTTCTAGTTTTTCTATTTTTTCTATTTTTTCTAGTTTTTCAAGTGTTTCTAATATTTCTAGTTTTTCTAGTTTTTCTATCTTTCTGAAAACCATTCAGAATTTGCAAATAACAGAATGGAAATTTATGAGTTTGGTGTTTTTGGACAATACGTGCTATACTCGAGATAAACCGAACATGACCGAAGAAAACCCACAGAAAAGATGCGTTAGTATCCCGGACGTTAAAGTACCATATGAAAACTACGGTGTGATGCCACCCTTTACGGTTACTGAAGATGTGGGATACAGTTTTATATTCACTGGATATTCGCTGTCAACCAATGTACAAAGTATAAACAGTTTTATGGCCTTTATACTGGACACCTATATCGGTCGTGCCGTAGGTCAATCATTGACCGCAGTGATGAAGAACTATGTAGATGAAGGTCGTTACGTCGAGGCATTTATTCGGTTTATGAACGTGATCGAAAGTGAAGGCATTTCGATGTTGAGTAGATTATGTCATGTATCAAATAAATTGATAACAAAGAAGGCATCGAAGGATATTAATGAGGTCTTTGATACCATCATTCCTATAATAGAACTCATTTACAACAAGTTTAAATTGCATTTAATATCGACTGAGCCGGTGCGTCAAATGGAAGCCGCCATAGACGTAGTAAGAGTGTCAGAAAGGGGGGGTTTGAAAGAACGAAAAGAATTCTTCAAACTGACATGCATGGAGTTTAGTCAACGGTATGGTAACATGATGGACTTGGTTAGTACAGGCGTATATGCCGACGTCGAACTTCTAGAGGCTACCCAAATGGCCAGACAAGAACTAAAACGTATTTTAGAACGTGCAACCAGGTACTTCAAAAAAGAAACGGACGCTGAACCACCCGGTGGTGGCGAACTGCAACAACTCTTAAGGAAATGAATAGACAATTGTCATGTTTACGGGTGGCAACGGCTTGGACCAAAATCTACACACACATATTTTAACTATTACTTAAAAAATTGATAAAAATTAAAGCTTGCATGTATGCATATTATAAAATAGTAATGTATTAACCTCAAAATATCCTTTCGTTTGACAAAAAGTCCTTATGCGTTATCTAATAATAAAATTCTACGTTATAAATGTAAAAAATGTTTTAAAAAATTACAAACTTTCTTTTATTATAATTATTATACTATAATTTTTCGCTTAAAATGTTTTTTTTTTTTGGTTCTCCTTAATGATTGACTACAGAAAATATTATATATTTATAATGTAATAGCTTCACTGTAGCTATACCTTTGGTCTACTTTTAAACTCTAATCACTAAAACTTAGTTTGAAAAAGTGAAATAAAGAAAAATAAATTCTATCCCTCCTAGAAAAAGGGTTTATGCTATTTTTTTGGTTTGCCAATGTTTACCGGTAGTACTATGTTAAAAGAATATTCCATACAAATTTGGAAATAGTTAGAGCATTTAAAAAAAAAGTGTTAGAGTGTAGTATTTTTAAGTTGAAAAATATGTACATTTTTTGGGTGTTTTTTTTTAAACTAAACTCAACATTTTTCAGTACATTATTTTTAATTAAAGTTAATGAAATGTATGCGTACCTATTTGAGTTTCAAAACTAAAACTTGTGATAAATTGAGATTACTACTATAATACCATTTGTTTCCCGCACTTTATGTCCTAACTTATATCCTGGCTATTATTTCTTTTCTCACTAGTAAAATAGGTTGTCCTTTTCTACTTTCATTGATTAATTTCCGCACACCTAACTTATCACACACTCTATCATCCTCTTCCTAATCCCATTCCTACAAACTATGGCTCAAACTTCCCTATTATTCAACTAAAGCGGTTCGCCAATGAATACTCTTCTTTAATATTGTAAATAGTCATTCTAGGAGTATTATCTTATTTCTTACTGTCTAATTTATTTTTAAAACCCATAAACTTAAAAATTTTTTTTTGTGCTTTGGGTTCATTCTGTGTCTAATAAAATAAATAATATTATCTTTGATTTTATCCATTACTCTGTGCCAATTGTGTGTATTTTCTAAAAATATAAGTAATTTTTTTACAAATTCTATATATTTTAGATTCGTAGAGAGACAAGTGCTATCGACGGTCATAGGGACGACTTCATAAGAAATGAAACCTGTGTGGCTCTATACCGTGATATTTATATACCCATCTAACAGTCAATTACGTTAAATATATAAATACAGCAGCTTTAGTTTTAATTTATAAAATCATTTTTCTTCTGTTCCGTTTCTGTTTTCTGTTGTTGATTTGATTACTAAAGAAATTATGCCCAATTTTGAATTTTCTATGAGAGGAATAGTTAAAACAACTAGTTTTATAATAAACACTTAGAGTAATATTAGTAAAACTGCCTACAAATATTTTGCCAAGATAACCTACCGGAACACGTTAATATTTGACGATTGTTGTAACGAAATCGAAATTGGCTATTTGTTTTTATGCATCAAGTTATTTGCTGTTTTCTCTGTGTGCTTATTAAAGTTTATGAAATTTGTTGTCAATAAATAATTTAAAATTAAGAGTAAATATGAAATCTCTATCTCATTCGTGAAAGACCGTTTGTAAAAACTTCATTCCACAAAAATGTAGCAAGCAACTTATTGTGTTTAAATCGTTTTTTTTTTTTCAAAGAAGATACGTTTTGTAATAAACATAAATGTTTACTTCTAATCGATTACCGCTAATGCTGTTGTTATCACATATTGTAAACAAATAATATATAAAATATTCGTAGCATCTCTTTTTGTAACAAAAAATATTATTAATTATAGTTCGAAGTTTAACAACCTATATAGAATTTGAATAGCTAAACAATTGTGCTTGATTACATAAGTAAAATAAACAAATGTCAAACATAACACTTTTTTTTTTATTGTAAAACTTCATATTTATCAAACAAATTTAATTAATATTAGTAATACATAACATGTATGTATCAAATACATTTATATGTACATTACAGTTAAAATCATAATTACAAATCTTCCATAATATTATTATTTAAAATCATCGGAATTCTATTTCTAGCCGCGAGGACGCGGCTAAGAAAATTTGGATAGCATTTGTAATAAACAATAAATATCAAATGTTTTTTAAATATTTTAAAATACTCCATGCACAGAATAACACAATTTCACTTATTTATCTAATTTGTAAAATGTCATATCTATTTAATAAACGTGAGCCATATAAACTGGACAGAAACTCATAAGGAATACATTAATGAAAATACACTACATAGATCTTTAGTGTTGGGATCAAAGAAGTCGAGTTCAGAACAATAACGCATTGTAACAAGATCAACCCAGCCAGTTTAGTTTATCAAGCCTCTTGGCCAGTGGGATTGCGTTCGACCCGACAACTATTTCTTATATTTAAATAATTTATTCCTTATATAACTTCTATCTAGTGCTTATGCAATTTTATTTCAACTCAAAAACCAAAAAGTTGATCATTATTTCTCATCATAAAAATCGTTAATATCTTTTTTCTTTCTTTTTATACTTAAATATCAGGTAATCGTGAAGTTTATGTTGAACCAAAAAGTTTTCTATTTAACTTGGGTAATATCACGTCCGATTCAGATAAAAGACCAGCGGCAGTCTTTGTCGCTTTCTTTGTAAAGTGGTGCTATGAAAACTGTTGAGCTTAACTGCTGATATCGCACTTGATTTACCTCGGAAAAAATAGTTATTCTGTCTTAGCTATTTCAGCAAGCGAGTTGTACACATTCAACATCGTAGTGTCAGAGAAAATTAAGGGTGACGTAATTAGTGCTCATAACTTATCGTTTGTCTTCCAGCTTGAACACGTGTAGTATTGATAGACGCTTAACGCCAGTGGCTTAGCACAGCACATGATGATTGATAAACATACTATAAGCGCTCCAGCCAGTGCGATATACCGATATGTGTCTTTGACCATACAGGCGTTAGTATAAAAATATTAATCCACCTTTCCTCCTGCCCTAAACTTGAAACTTTAATAACTTCAAAAATAGTTATACAAAACTGGTTATCGACCAGTCAATATTTTTAGTACATTATTCTCTATAGAAAAAGTTAATATATTATATTATGTTACCATATAAGTTTCAATAGTTGCTATCAAAAAAACCAAGTTGGGAGGGGGTAAAAACAAAAAACATTGTGAAAAATTGAGATCACATTCTACAACAACAATATGAAAAAAAAATATTTTAATTTCTAATTAAACCCTATGAAATATTGAGTGGTTCATGATAAGAGAAACACTCTGTAAATATAAATTATACATTTTCTTAAAAACGTAGAAAAATTATTTATTTTTTTTATTCATAAGCAAATTAAACAACAATCCAACGTCACATAGGTAATCTTTGTCAGACCGGAAAACATGTCGACTTCTATAAAATGAATACCATGTAACAAAATGTCACAAAAAAACAATTAAACAAAAAATGCCGTCACCGTTATTATAATGTGATAACGTATTGACATGATAACGCGCGCCGGGACGCTTTAGATTCTTTTCCACGAATGAGATAATATGTATTATTTTCTTTTCTATTTCAAATATAGTGTACTAAGATGGCCGGTTACTATTTGATATTTAATAGACTCTGTAAGCATTACTACGTTGATAACAACTTGACGAAACGGCTCAGTCAACATAAAATAAGTTGTAAACGAGTTGCCAATGTTTGTAATGTAAAGATATGTAATTGACAAATGTATTTTGAATCCAAAGAATTGTTTAAATTTGAGATTGGACTTTTGGTTTTTAAAAGTTCAAAATATTTTGATAATATGCACTAAAAAAAAAAATCTCATAATATTCTATTATTACTGGTAAACTAAATTTTAAAAATATTCAAACCTGAATAACCTGAATATAATCTCTTACCTCCCAAATATGCTCTAATAGGCAAAATAATATCTATTGTATTGTACAATTTGTTCAACCCTGTAGAGCTGCATAAAGCTAATAAATATGTGTGAAAACCTAAAAATCTAATTAAAATCTTATTATAATATACAATATATTAGGACTTAGTACTTTAGTAAAACAAATGAAATTCTATTTTTTATGTTCACAGGTAATACATTTGAGTACACCAAATTATCCTTCAATGCGCCATGTTGCTTATTTAAAATAATATTTTTTTTTTTAAATAATATAATTTGTTATATTTCATTTTACTAGTACTATCTAGCAGAATAATCGATAATTGATTTTTTCAAAGTATTATTATTTCAATAAATGTTGTACAGTATGATTGGTTGGCTATGACGCTCTTAAATTCGTCTAAAGTGTTAGACCTTTTTTTTATACAGTTTTTAGTTAATCTTAAATTAATAGATTTATTTTTTAAAACATATATAAAATTTGTGCGCGCTAAAACCCATAAAATTATAAAACAGAATAATATGTCTTTTCCTTTCTGTACAGCCAAAGTCGCCATGAAAAAGAAACGTTACCATGTTGTTTTTGTCAAACGCACGCGAATAACAACAGCTCTTCAAACATAACATTGAACAAATAAAGCCTTAGCTCGTTCCTAAACTAAATAGGTACAATGTAACCAAGTAAGGTATTAACCCGCATTGCAGTAGTGTGAGCAGTTATTCTTTTATGAAAGTTTTTGGTGTTCATAGTTTACCTGTTTTGATTATTTTCGACACTCAACGAATACGAGTTAAAAAATGTTTGTGTTCCAAATTTGTGTTATTGCACTATGCAGTCTTAGCGGTTGTCAAACGATGATCACATTGGAAACTATTCAGAATTTGCTAATAACCGAGTCGAACTTTATGAGTTTGGTGTTTTTGGACAATACGTGCTACACTCGAGATAAACCGAACCAGACCGAAGAAGCACCGCAGAAAAGATGCGTTAGTAACCCAGACGT